AAGCAGGATTCACTTGCAGGATCTCAATGAACATGTCATCCCCAATCCTCTTCTTTCTCCTATTCATCAGGAGTGAAGAGACTACACCCTTCCAGGCTACCATGGCACAAACTTCTGTTAAGAACAGATGTATTATTAGATTTAGAGTCGCAACAATTTTTTTTAAATGTCCTTCCCTTCATAACCATAAGCATTAATCATAAGAAATACTTATTGACACTTAAACTTGGGAATGCCTCTGTATAGCACTGCTCTCCAGCTCTTATCATGGTGAGTATGGACCACAAGATGGCAAGGAGAGGAGAAAGATTTTTCTGTTGCATAAAAAAAAAATATTGATCCCTATTCCATGAATATAAATGTAGAACTATGGCACTGAATATTGACACTATTTTCCACAGTGTTGGAGGTTTCAGGTGAGCTTTAGCTCCTGAGGGTCACAAGAGCACAGAGAACACAGATGTTACTGGTGTCCTGAAGCTGCCCAGCCGCGTATGCTATTATCTTGTTTACTGCAATGATGCCAGCTGAACTCACTGCAGACCAGAATGAGAAATTATCCTTCACACAGAAAAAAAAAATAAGGTGGCCATATCTAGAAACCTTTAAGAAAGAAATACAGAGCACCTTCATGAAAATTTCATTGAGCTCTCTAAGGAGGATTAAAGGGATAATCATAGGTTCATAAACAAAGCCCCCTACTTCACCCTAGGGATGTCAGCAGCTAGTCAAGTCACTACTTGACTAGTCGCTTCCTCTCCTCCATCCTTGCTGCCTCTGTATCAAACACAAAAAGCGGGGAAGCAGGAGCCGGTGCTGGGGGGAGCCAGCTTGAAAGCCAGCTCCCTCTAGCACCGGTCCTGCACAGGAGGCAGGGGAGGCAGAGGTGCAGTGGGGACTGAGCATGTGCCAGGATCATCTGTCCTGGCTTGCACCTGGTCCCAGATAGTGCAGTGGGGACTGAGCATGAGCCAGGATCAGCTGTCCTGGCTTGCACCTGGTCCCAGATGTTGCACCTCTGCTTTTTAAATGTAGTAGGAGCCTGGTGGCTCTTACTACATTTAAAAGGCAGAGCCATACAGGGATTAGCTCCTCAGAGCAGCAAGAATGAAAAGTGCTTAGTCCCAGCTCATGCCACCCTGGGGAGCTAACTTCACTGCAACTCTGCAAAGCCACAGTGGGGATAGCAATTTCCCCTCCCTTCCCCGTCAGCTAATTGAGTAGTTGATGGAAATTCCATTTACTACTTGATTAGCTGATTATCCACATTTTAACGTCCTTACTTCATCCCTTACCTAAGTCAACTCGGGAACAAAAACCAGATGCCAACTCTACCTCTGTTTATTGTATTTGTGCCTCTTCTCATAGGAGTTAAACAATTAAATGTTGATATTAGGGATGTGAAAGCGTAACAGTGTATACAGTTAACTGATGAGCCTGGGCTCATCGGTTAATGTGCACAGTAACACACAGATTCCTGGTACATATGGAGAGCTCCTCCCTTCCTCCCCAAGCCACTACCTCTGTATCAGAAGCAGTAGTGCAGGACTGAAGGTGAGAGTCAGTATGTGCAAGGAGCCACCTTAAAAGATGGCTCCCCACACACATTGGCTCCTAGGAGCTGCCTACTGCCCTGTGTATAACCACTTAAATTTTCAGTGGTTACACAGTTGCTTATTAAATGCATTTTAACATCCCTAGTTGATATCTGCGCTTGTTAACTTGATGAGCTGGGCACTTGTGTTCCCTGTAAACTGTGCACTTGTGTGGCTGTCAGGGCCAGCTTTAGGCCGATTCCCCCCGTAAATCAGGCCCCGCACTTCCTAAAGCCAGCCCTGGTGGCCGCTTAGGAGTAGGCATGTGAATGGTTAACTGGTAAGTCTCTCCCTTAGTAGGTGAGGCTTACTGGTTACAGTTAATCAGTGGGGCTGCTTCAGCCCTGCGGGGCCCACTGGAGGAAGGAGGTGTTCCAGCCCAGCCAGAGTAGCCCTGGTCTGGGTGCGCCATGCACAGGCCACTCCATCTCAGCCAGAGCAGCTGGGGGGGCACTCTAAGCCAGCTCAGTTGGAGTGGCCTCCCCATTTAAATGGTTAACCAGTTAAACAAAGTTTAACTAGGTAACTAATTAAACAGGATTTTGCATCCTTACTTAAGAGACATTCGAATGCCACTCAACTGATCAGTAGAGCATCCACAGCTAGGTTTTGTTTCTACCGGTGGTGCCCATTTGCACATGCCTCAATGCACCTAAAAACTGTATTGTGCACATGGATGGAAAAGATTAGAGGGACTATTGCTGGGCACCATTTTACATGTAAACATCGTAAGGAAAGATGCACGCGAACACTTACCTGAGCTCCCTTCCTCTTTATCCACAATTGCGTGGTTGCAGTGGCTACTGTGTAAGCCTCCTTGGGCCCCCCTGCCACATCTCCCCACTCCTCCTCTTTGCTGTTTACAGTGGGAAGTCTCTGTCTCAGACTCCTCCAAGGTATCCACGGTGGCCTGTGTGGTTTGTGCCAAGTTTGGCACACAGCTGATCATGTGGCTCAGCACCAAATCTGTTGTTAGTCTCCCTAGTCTTGTAATATGCCTGGCAAATTTCCTTCATTTTCATATGGCACCATGCTGATACCCCTTTGCCTGCAACTCCCATGCAATCTGTCCACAGAGATCCAAGTTTCTATGACTAGTCTGTAGGTATTCTTGTTGTTCAGTGTCTACTTTCTACAGGACCAGAAGATCCAGTATCTCCTGCCTACTCCAGTCATGGTCACAACAAGTAACAGCTGTATACAATGAGTGCAAACTCCCAGGTATCCTGAACAAGGTGGGCAATCAGAAAAAAGGCAGTATTTCAAAAACATCCTTTTAAAAAAAAAAAAAAAAAGATGGCAAAGCTGGTTTCCCATGGCTCCTGGGCAGTGGAGTTTAAAATTGTGACCACAGGGGTCACTGTCACAAGAATGGAGTATTGTGGGACAGCTCCTGGAGAACTGTTATACTCAAAACAGATCATCCGGTGACTATACTCACAAGAAGGCTGACTATGGCTGGATCTGCTACACTGCTGTAATACCACTCTTAAATTGTACAGACACATACACAAATAGGTCAACTCAAAGTGACTTACATAAACTATGCTGTACAGACCAGGCCTAACTTGTCTTGGACCTCATAAACTCTTGCTGTGGCCTTGCATTGTGTTGAGCTACCAAATCACACTAACAAATACAATATAATAAATACAAACAGAAAATCTTATAACAAAAAAGTGTAAATTTCAAAGATTTTAAGGCCAGAAGACACCTTTCTAATAATTTATTCTGACCTTTTGTGTGATACAGGCAACAGTACTTCACTCCAGTATCTCGTACATCAAGCCCATAATTTTGGCTTTATTCAAGCCTGTCTTGTAAGGAGGGATCCAATCTTGAATTAAAGAATTCAAATGATGCAGAATCTATCATCTCCCATGGTAAGTTGTTCAGTGGTTACTTTCTATTAGTTAAAAATGTCCACTTTATTTTCAATTTGAATTTGCTTTCCTTTTCCATCCATTCAATCTTCTTATGCTTTTGCTTGCTAGATTCAAAGCCTGACTACTACTGAAAAGCACCCTGTACAGGCAGTCCCCGACTTACGCGGATCCGACTTATGTCGGATCCGCACTTACGAACAGGGCTTTTCTCACCCCGGAGCTCATGGGCGTGTCT